TCCGCCTATGTTTTAAATTCATTTCGGTTGTTCAGTTTCGACATTATTTCCGATAATGAATTGGTATTAGGGAAGTGAAACTCCCGTATTTTCATTACAAGCAGCCCGGAGAAAAATATGGCAAATGCAGGTTCACTAAAAAATGGCGGCTACTTCTGATTGTGTTTTTCCCTCTCTCAGAATGAGTGAATTTTGGAAGATTTGACCTTGAGCAACAATTGTTTTTAATAAATCTGTTCGGAAAATACTGGATGCATCACAGGCAGGCCGGTATTATGCTGCTGAGAACGAACAGGATCAAGTTCCTTTGCACCTTCGCCATCTGCACTTCCAGGGTCAACCTGAATGTTGCGGTCTTTAGGACAGGACATTTTCCTGAAAATCTCGGGGTTCGTGAGGTTTCTTGAAAGTCGTTTGAAATTCCCAGAAACTTGTGAGATTTTGTTAAATTTACAGGTAATAAGCGCTTGGTTGATTGTGAGTAGCTTGATGTTATTATCACTTTTCACATTCATGTATTTACAGTAAGTTTTCCATTTTTTTGGTAAATTTAAATTTAATTTTCGATCAAACGTACGTTGAAATGAACTAAAAAAGCATAGGAATTTGTCCTGTTTTGAGTAGTAATTGAACTGATGTTGTTGATTATGATTTGCGGGAAAAATGATGCTTTGCCTGATTTAAATACCAATAGATGGTCGATACAATCGGTGTGGGTATCCCATGTTAGTGATATGTTACTGAGATGATTTCACATGTCGAACGCAGCTATACCAGGTCCTTTGGTCCCGGCCTGCATGTCTCACGAGGAGATGTTCGGTTTCGATTAAATAATTAAATAATTGCGTGAAATTCCGGGATGAAAAAGTCATATGGTGTAATAGAAAGAAATGTTGAAATAGGAAGAATTGAAGAGAAAATTCCGAAATAAGAATTCAGAAATAAGTAAAAATAGAAGAGTGGGAGGATTGAACGTAGGTGTTATGTACAAAAAGGCATTTTTCGGTACAGCCTGTGTTTCATCCCTCAGCTGTAAACACAGACCGGACTATGACCGGAAAAAAGTAGTGAAATTATTTTAATAAAATAATTAATGGTAAGAATTGTTTCGGCGGTCTTATATAAAATATAGCACGAATGTTGACGATTTTTGCTTTCTACCCGTAAAGAGTAGGGACATTAAAAAAACTATTTTTGAATGTTTTCCCAGATATGGTTTATTTGCAGAGAAGTTTTCAAAAGCTACAATGTACCAGTGGATTACATACTTGTT